TAAAAGGTTTTTCAGCGTCAGTTACTAGTTACCCTAAAATCGACCTGAGGCTTTTTCTAAGCCTGTCACATGTCCAAAATTTTCTTGGCGATGAGGGGGACTCCGCCCCCTTCAAACCCCCCAAACAGAAGGGGGCAACTCCCTGATGTAACATTTGGATGGGGGACGGCGCCGAAAAAGTGGTTACTTTTTTTAACAACATTTCTCAAACGAAAATCAGTGTTTGGGGCCTAAATAGGGCATTTTTTCACTGTTTGAGGCCTCAAGGGGGGGGGGGGGCAAAAAGCCGTCGAAACACGCTTATATGAGGGAAAAGGTTAACCAACTAGATTTTAAGATCCAATATAAATCTTAATATTTGATACATTTGTAGGGTCTGGCTTAAATTATTGCGAAGAAGTTTTTGGATACTATGACAGTAGAAATATAGAACTTGTACATTGTATATTTCTTCAAAAGATTATATTTGTCCGTAAATCAACAAATCTACAGTATATCATAATAGTTAAATACTGGATTAAAATACTAAAGTCATCTGATTACTTCATTCTTAGAACATGCTTAAACATATCCAGATAATGAATTATTATACATAAAAGAAACTGGACTTATCAAATAATAAATATGCTGAACCAAATAGGAATTTCAAAAGTCTGGCTATAAGATAATTTAAAAATTAATATATGTGTCAAAGAACAGAGAATTTTAGAAATCTACAAACAAAATTAGCATTTAGACATTAATAATTATAACAGACTTTCACCTAACAGTCATTTTAAACACGAAGTTCTGTGTGAAAAATATTTAAGCGTTAAAAATAAAGATAGCCATATGATTATTTCAACCAAATTTAGACTGTCAGCTCGCAAATCTTGAGATAGATAAAGAAAGGCAAGATAAAAGTCCAAGAGAAAATAGAAAATGTCAAAATTGACCATTACATTTGGTAGGAACAGAATATCATTTCGTATTAATGTGTCCCAAATATTACAATTTACGTAGACAGTTTTAAAACCATATTTCGTAGATAATATACAATGTAGAAACTCGAAACACTAAATTATATCAAAACAATAAATCATCTGGCAAGTTATCTGTATTATGCATTAAAAGAAAGGACATAACTCCAGATTTTAGCCTTTTAGTATCCATAAACACTTCTTCCCCTTGTGCAGATTGGTAAAAGGGTTGTAACTACGACAGCAAATACGTACATATGACGGTTATGTCCTTTTAGAAATATTAATATTTAATTGCCGTTTAATTGGAAGATTAGGATATAATGCAACGTTAACAAATATCTTTCTTTTTTGTTTAAGTTCATTTGTTTCTTACATGTATTTTTATGCAAACCATGTTAGATATGTTGCAACCTTTTTTGATAATATTCACTAACTTACTGTAACACACCACACAGTATCTAAATAGTATGACTCTAAATTGCATGTATACGATTCTATGTTGAATAAAATATATATGTTATCTTATTTGCTTGTGAGGCATTGCAACATACAAAATACTTTTAATGGAGTGTTTCTTAATATAATTCTTAACAATCTGAGAGTTTTACTTAACAAATGTCATGGCTTTGCTAAGCCCTTGAAATAGTCTTGTTATTAACTCTACCCTTTTGTGTAATACTGGTCAATTGTTACCTTTACCTATGGATTTTTCATCTTTGAATTGATTGTGAGTGTGAATTTCTGTCATTTCATTTAAATGTTTAAATGTAAAATATCTTTATTATCATCTGTAAACAACATGATGCAATTGACAAGAACAATCTAATTTGATTAACATATGTTGACTGCGCATACAATTGCGTTGTTTTATTTGTCATGTCATCGTGTGATTTTAATGTTGTTGTGACCTGTGTAGGAAGTGTATATCGGTTTTTCTTGGAAATACAGAGATATGAACGAGTGACACGGATTTTGCTATCCCTATTTTCCAGACAACACATGTTAACTTGAAAATGCATAGAGAGTGTAGACGATTTGTTATAGGCACATTAACTGTGAGATAATCATATTTGTTTTTATTCATTAATGTCAAACATTTATTTAATTATTCTTTGAAAATGAATTTAGAACATTTGAGATGCTAATCAATAATCAATTGAAGAAAGTAGAGATGAACGTACTTGCAGCGTTGTGTCGTTAAGGTAGCAAAAATCTAACAAAGTAGTATTTTGACTTCCATACAAAGTACTAATTCACTACCAATTGCCAACCGGGAAAAAGTAGCACAAAAATGTTAATAAATGAAGCAAATGAGTTTTCTTTTTCAAAAGCATATCTATAAAGTTTTTGACAGATAAAAGTTATAACATTTTTGAGGCATTAATATGGCCCTTTAATGATTTTTGTCATAGTAAAAAAACTTGTAATGAGAAAAATTTCTTATTTTATAAATGATTTTTCAAACTGTCATGTAAACGAACCTTGATTGCTCTTTCTCATTTTATTGCTGTTTGTAATGATAATAAATCTAGAACTTGAGTTGCATCATTTAGGCTTTTGTTTTTATATTTTTTGGCATAAAATAGGGTTTCAACTAGCTAATACAAAACAACAAAAAAAAAAAAAAAAAAAAAAACAAAACAAAACAAACATAAACAAACTACATGAAGTGAAACTGAACTGAAATAACTGGCTGTTTTATGATCCAACCGTCAATGTTACATGTAAAATATAATTTCATCAAAAAATAATGGATGAATAACTCTCTAGCATCTATTTTTTCTCACTAGTTTTCGTATCGTAATGTTTTCACAAATTATTCATCTTGCTATTATATTTTTTCTCGCCATAACGTAGATCAATAACAGTTGCTGATCATTGTAACTTTATTAAATGTTATTCATCTGTAGGACATGATAACCTTATTATGTCGTTTTGCTTTACTCAATCATATTTACGATTTACAATATATCTACCTACGCATTATTGTTTGATAACAATAACCTGATAATGATAAATCTTCGATATTTTTATCATTTATTACAATTTACGCATTTGTTTTGGGAATGATTATAGTTTTTTATACTGCGTAGTTTAAGTCCTGCGGCCTAGTGGTATAGATAAAGAACATTGGTCTTTTAATCGAAAAGTCCTTGGCAACCATTTATTAATATTTCGTTAACTACATTTTTTCTTTTAATCATATGCAGCATGAGTAAATGGATAAATACTGTGTTTAATATTTTGTTTATTATCTGGTGTCATTTGTTTTCCTCAGTTTCAAAAGTTTAACACATGTGTTATACTTCATCAATTTTGATAAAATCGATGCACATCAAAATACGTATCAATGATGAAGTCTTAAATTTACGAGAAATATCAAAGAATATTTGAAGTTAAAGCTAGTTTGAACTCACATTTTCATCTTGAAGTCAAGCACTTTGTGGCATGTGGGTTTAAAGTGTTGACTTCAAGCCACTTGTTCGTTCCTCATTGTTATGGGATGCTATCTCGCCAAGGAATTTTGATTGTTTCATGTGAGTAGCTATCTATCTAGCTTACGGAACGTCCTAGTTCTACAAAGATATCAGTTACTGATTGAAACAGCGTTAGATCTAGAGTGTGAGTGTGCACGAAATTTCATCCAAAATAAGCTAGTTAGGTATGCATAGTATTGATAAACACCCAAAATGAAAAAAATATGGGAATGACGAAGTACCAAATTTGAATGTAATTGGTGAGAAATCACGAGCGTTTTTAGAATGATACACGTACTCTGTCATATTAATTTCTGTTTAAGTCAGCTTCAGCAAATCACTTACACTCTTTTCTAAAACGTGGCATCAACTTTTTATTGTACAGGAAATATTAATACGTGATTGGATGCTGGTTTCATTGTCTTACTGGCCTGTAGAAGTGAGATCAATGACTTAATATATTATGTAATTATGAAATGAGATTTTATAATGAGTATATAATTTTTGGTTTGTTTGTTGTTGATTTTGTTTTAGATTTTTCCATTTTAATGGTATCATTTGATCTTTGTAAAACTTTAAATTTCATGGTTTAGTTCTTTTATCCTCAGTGGAGCTCTTTTAACTCCAAATTTTATGGTTTAATCTTTTTTACTTCAGTGGAGCTCCTTTAAGATGTGTAAATATATGCATAAAGATAAAGGTACCCCTTTTTGTGATTTGTTATTACACTTATAATATCCCATGTATGTACTCTACGTATTTTCAAATAAACAACATGCACCGCGCAGTTCCCAGAAAAAGCAAAACACAAGTGATGTATCATTTATGCACTTTATGTAATTTAAAATAAACAACATATGCTGCGCATTTCCCAGAAAAAGCAAAACAAAAGTCACATGCACTTATCAATGCACTTGAAGTTAAACAATTTATGCTGCACAATGTCCGAAATTTGATTCAGAATCGATGAAAAAAGTATTCTGATCATGCTATTCAGATATGATAATGATGAAATTGAACAATATTAGAATAACAGAAATTCAATTAATATAACTAACTTTCGCACTATTTCTTTATTTAAAAAAATGATTAAGAATATATACAAACAGTATCGTGCAAAATTGTTCAATAAACCACTGCAAAAAAGGTAGGAACAGTATCCTGGACAAGAAGCAAAGTGAATATATGCATCGATAAATAATAATAAGAAAACAACTCATTTTTATGCGAAGTCTTAAAACGAATAATAATAAATCAATCAATTGTCTTTTATTTCCTTGTCGGTTACTATTTTTTTATTTTATGTATTGTTAAAGTGATTATCCTGTCAGTTTTATCATATAAACTTGAGTTTTCAAACAAAAACATGTTGCTTTCCTGTCATGTACAAGATCCAGATTATTTTGTTGTCTAATGCACCAATGATTAAGGTATGCCTTACCTTGACATCGGTTATAGTGACACCACAGAACATTCACTTTCATGTGAAAACATATACATCGTTTTGCAATAATCAATAAATCATTTGAAAAAAAAGAAAATGTAATTTGAAAAACAGATAATTCATTTTGTATAAATATTGAAATATTTGCGTTGTGCATCAGTCGTGTATTGATTGAAATCTCGCTTTATTGAAAGGTAGAATTTGTATTTTCTTTTTAGCTTCATTCAGCATATTGAATTTTTGTTATGTTATTTTATATTTTGAAACAGGACGTATTTCATGGACACGAAGATTTGTTGTAAACAATTGTTCTTAAAATCAGTACCTGTAATTACATACTTTCGCAGTTTTGCTTCTTTCCAAAGTGTGTTGAATCTCAAACAATGTGCTTTACGAGATATTTCATCGCATAATAGAATTATTTAGCAAGCATACCATAACATACTTATTGTAAAATGAAAGAATAAGAAAATACCAACGCTCACATTGTGATACATGTATATTTTACCTTATTTGGTGCCATGGATTTTATTAATATATCAAGGTAAGACATACTCTATGATCATAATTATTTTAATTGTTTTTCTTTACAATTTACAATAAAAAGACAATAAAAAGATAATCGAACAATTTTAAGGTTGACTGTTTTTCTTTCTTTTTTCAGTACTATTCTATTTTGTATTGGAGAATAACATAGTGATTGAAGAACAATGGGAAAATCTACGATCACATTTTTGGTGAGAATAAACAATTTCTATAATCTTTTGTAATCTATTTTTCGAAAGTTATTTTTTTTTATTTTACAGAATATTTCTTAATGCCACATTCAATTGTTATTTACATATTCACCAATGCTTTTTCTAGCTGTTGATCTTGGTAGTCGCGTTGATGAAAACTTCCACATCAAAGCCGACGATAGAAGGTCAAAGGATAGAAACAAACAAACATGAATTTACGAAGTTGTTGAAACGTTCGTCGCATGGGAAAGGAAAGGGAACAGTGAAAGGAAAGGGAACAGTGAAAGGAAAGGGAACAGTTAAAGGAAAGGGAACAGTGAAAGGAAAGGGAACAGTTAGATGTAATGACCATAGCGAGGTAAAACATTGAACAATTAAATGTTGTTAATTTCCTCATGACACAATATATGTTTTTGTTGACCATTCAGTGCTGACAAATAAATTCAATTCATTGCCGTTTCTATACTGTAACAACTGAAATACTATTTCTAATCAAGATATGTTTGTAAAACATGTATGCCCCCTGTCGGCAGCCAATTAGTCATGTGATCAGGTTATCATGCATGACATCTGACCCAGTGAACAAACAATTAATAAGGGTTATCTAGTATCTACTGGTCATGACTAGTCACAAGGTAATAATTATTGTGACCCTATAGGTTGTGTGCAGCAATTTAAGTTATTACAAATCTTACCAAATAATATATGCATAAATTTTATGAATCATGTAGGCCTCATTAATGACAGCCAAGTTGTTATATTACATAAGACCTTCAAATGTGTATACCAAAAGCATTTTTAGTTAAATATAAAAATATCAACCAAGGCAACTTGAGTTGTTGAGTTATTGGTCAGAAACCGTCATTAAGTACAAGGTCAATATGACATTGACCCCTTGACCCTAAAATCAATAGGGGTCATCTGTTGGCAATGACCAATCATCATACCAAGTATGAAGTTTCTAGGCCTAAGCGTTCTTTAGTTATTGATTGGAAACCGTTTTTACCTAAAATGTCAATGTGACCTTGACCTTTGACCCCTTGACCCTAAAAATCAAGAGGAGTCATCTGCTGGTCATGACCAATCATCATACCAAGTTTGAAGTTTCTAGGCCTAAGCATTCTCTAGTTATTGATCGGAAACCGTTTTTACCTACAAGGTCAATGTGACGTTGACCTTTGACCCCTAGACCCCAAAATCAATAGGGGTCATCTGCTGGTCATGACCAATCACCATGCCAAGTTTGAAGTTCCTAGGCCAAAGCGTTCTTTAGTTAATGATCACAAACCGTTTTTACTTACAAGGTCAATGTGACCTTGACCTTTAAACCCTTGATCCCACAAAATCAATAGGGGTCATCTGCTGGTCATGACCAATCACCATACCAAGTTTGAAGTTCCTAGGCCTAAGCGTTCTTTAGTTATTGATCAGCAACTGTTTTTACTTACAAGATCAATGTGACCTTGACCTTTGACCCCTTGACCCAAAACTCAATTGGGGTCATTTGCTTGTCATGACCAATCATCATACAAAGTTTGAAGTTCCTAGGCCTAAGCGTTTTTAGTTAATTGATCGGAAACCGTTTTTACCTTCAAGGTCAATGTGACCTTGACCTTTGACCCCAAAATCAATAGAGGTCATTTACTGATCATGACCAATCACCATACCAAGTTTGATGTTCCTAGGCCTAAGGGTTCTTTAGTTATTGATCGGAAACCGTTTTTGCTTACAAGGTCAATGTGACCTTGACCTTAGACCCCTTGACCCCAAAATCAATAGGGGTCATCTACTGATCATGACCAATCATCATACCAAGTTTGAAGTTCCTAGGCCCAAGGGTTTTTTAGTTATCACTCGGAAACCATTTGGTCTACGGACCGACGGACCGACAAGTGCAAAGCAATATACCCCCTCTTCTTCGAAGTGGGGGCATAATAATATTTTGTTCTCTTATACTGCAAAGTTATTAATTTTAAATTATTTTAATAAAATACTATTCTATAACAGTGTCCAGAGGGGTACGCATGTCTTCTTCCTGGCTTTAGCAAAGCTAGTGTTAAAGCAAAAAAGAGATGCTACGAGTGTAAGTAGTTAAATTTCATTTAAGCAAAATACACAAAAACATAACCCACTGTCAATCAGTCTTTCAGATTCACAACGTTTTAAGTATTTTCATTTAGTTCTGTTTTTCTTCGCATGAGGAGTTTACTTTGTTACTATTTATCGTTATTTAAGTTAATTATAAATGCATAGTCTGCCTATTTTAAATTTAATTTAGTTGATGTCCGCATACTAGCAGAAAGGTTGTAGTTTTAAATCCAATTACGATATAGCACACTGCCAATTTGAATGCGGTTTTTCATTTTAATTACTTATGCTCGTCCAATTGAAAATGAAAGAGAGTAAAAAATTCCTAGAGAATGCCAAACAAAAACCCTGTAAAATAGGAGATGTTGCAGGTTCACAGGCTGAGGTAGAATTCAACATTAAAATTTGAAATGTCCAAAGTTTGAACTAGAAACATCTGCAGACGTATTAAATGCAATTTGATATTTATATTTAGATCACCTTAGAAGTAGATCTCTTACAGAAAGGCCTGTTTACACTTTTAGTGATGTCACATTTTTTAGGTGGTTGTAAGACGTATAGCCAATGTTATCTTCAACATAAAAGCATGTTTTGCAATTGCTCTGGGTCTGGATTCACTGGAGAATTTTGCCAAACAAGTAAATAATTTGGATCTACTTTTCTTATAACATAAACATATCTATATTTCTTAAGCTTCATTTTTATGAGTTATGATGATAAAAGTAATACAAAATGTATGATAATTAATTTCGCATAATAAATATAACATCTCTAATGAGCTTCCCAATGGTTGTACAGCATTTATATGCAATAATTGCGGAAATTATCGAAGCGATTTTCTGTAGCAGAGACAAACGTTTTGAAGTGAGGAGTAAATTCTACCATTCAGTTACTTTAAATTTTTTTGAATCAACCGACAGATGAATCCTTGGACTCGTATGCGTAATCATTTTCGTCCGGGAACAATTCAGATTGTTTTTTTCCATATATTCAAATGATGACGAAAATTCATAGAAATACCAATACGAGTAGTACTGCATACATTGATATGATAACTTTCTTGTTTTAGGCTATTTTATACGCATCGTTATACATGATGGCGACGCAAATTTTTTTTTATTATAATTTAGATATAGACGATTGCTTACCTACACCGTGCAATAACAACGGTACCTGTACTGATCAAGTGAATGGCTACACGTGCCAATGTAATCCTGGATACACAGGGAGACAATGTGAAAAAGGTATTTCTTGAAGACTTGTAGTGCATGAATTAATCTCTTAGGAAAGAAGTCATTTAAAAATTATTGCCGATATAGTACCAACTTTCTATGATACCAATTAGCTTTAAAAGTCAAGCACAAAATCATAAGTGTTTCAAGCAAAGAGTTTCTTCAAAGAGTATTTTGTTATGACTTCTACTTGTGGGGATGTAAACGTTTATCGAAGTGACTAAACTACAATCACAATGGTTTGTTGATGTTAAATGACCATATAAGTAAAGATCGATGCTGTCATCGTTTAATGTATTTTAAGCCTTTTTTATACCTGATTAGAGTATTTAGTAATACATATGATAACTATTGAATGTAAGACAACAAAAGCAATAATCTTTAAAGATGGACTTTAGTTAAATAGATTTAAACTATAATTACAAATGATGGCGACGCATTTTTTTTTATTATTTAGATAAAGACGATTGCTTACCCACACCGTGCAATAACAACGGTACCTGTACTGATCAAGTAAATGGCTACACGTGCCAATGTAATCCTGGATACCACAGGGAGGGACAAATTGTGAAAAAGGTATTTCTCCTTGAAGGACTTGTAAGTGATGAAATTAATCTTTTAGTGAAGAAGTCATTTTATAAAAAATTTATTGCCGATTATAGTACCAAATTTTTCTATTGATACCAATTAGCTTTTAAAAGTCACAGCACAAAGTCATAAGTGTTTCAAGCAAAGAGTTTTTCAAAAGAGTTTATTTTGTTATGATCTTTCTACTTGTGGGGATGTAAACGTATATCGAAGTGACTAAACTACAATCACAATGGTTTGTTGATGTTTAAGGACCATATAAGTAACGATCGATGCTGTCATCGTTTCATGTATTTTCACCCTTTTTTTACACCTAATTAGAGTATTTAGTAATACATATTACTATTGAATGTAAGACACCAAAAGCAATAATTTTTAAAGATGGACTTTAGTTAAATAATTTTAAACTATAGTTACAAATGTATTTTGTCTGCTTTTTCATTGAATACTTAAAAACTTCCAATGCCATTATGTTGTTGACAATTTATTTCATTTGATATGTGAAAAGAAACTAGTATGTACTGAATATTTTACGAAATAATCATTATCTGTTATATGTTTGAATACATACATATATAGAATGCAATCAATCAATTTAAGTTGTAATAGGTACATTAAAATAACAAAGAAAATTTTAAGATTTAGACATTGACGACTGTGAAAACGCAATTTGCTTGAATGGGGGTTTATGTATTGATTGGGTAAATGAGTACCATTGCCAATGTGGTGACGACTATACAGGGGCAGACTGCGGAACGAAAATGATTCCTAAAAAAGCATTTAATTTTATTTATATACACATCATTCTTTTAATTCAACTTATCAGATATATACAAATTACTCTTGTAACAACCAACAGCAAATTCACATTTTGTGACCATATGCAAGTATATAATAATTAAATTCGAAAACACGCTAACAACTCATGTTCTTTAAAAATCATTTTCGTCTTGGAAACAACAACTAACGGATAATTTTGATATTTATTATTTAATTTGTGATAGGAGAATACCTCAATACTGTCTAAGCTTAAGGGAATGTAGATAGTATAGAATCTACTACATTTTATATACTTATTTCATTCTTCATTTTCGGACATGTCATTACTTTAAATAACGTTGTCCTTTATAGGTATGTCTCTTAAGAAATTCTTCGCACAAAACTCTTCAATTCCCTCATTACAGATAACTGTAAAAGAAAAGTTTATTTAATACTACTTCTATAAAGACAAGGACTTACATTTCAAAATTATAAATGAAGCTGAGGGGAATTGCAAATCATCAAAGATTGAATGATATTTTGTATGCAGAAACATAATTCATGCACTGTTTTTCATTTAGTAAATACAATGTACATACATTTTAAATTTTTGGCTTAACTATTGAACTGACTTCACGAGATTGTAACATAGGTAAGTCTAATTCAGATATTAAGCGGTATAAGAATTAAGAAAGAAATGATAGCACTATCAGAAAAACTATGTAGTTTTTTTGTATTTGCCTTAACTTTTCGTAAAATGAGATGATTTTGATTATAAATTTAGCATAAGCTGTCTGTAACAGCGTTTAACTAACCACTAGTTTAAAAGTGGCTTGATAAAAAGTAAACGTGCCGCCGAAACATGAGGACAACGACTTAGTTTTAGTTTATTGGTTGGTTTAACGGTGCGCCAACGCAGTGTAAGTCAATGTTGCCTTCAATCAACACCAAGGATCGTAGACTCCAGTTGTTCAAACTTAAATTATCAGACGCAAAAAAAAGTGCAATTAAGCGTCTAAAACTGCTACAGTCGCTTCAATGTCTCTCTCTTTGAGCTGTTTTAATTATTTAATGTTTTAAAATAAGCAACTTACTTGGACGTAATATAATATTTTTTAAACTAGAAAATTGTATTTTAAACTTCGTCTCAACACTGTTGTTAAGTATAATAATTTGAAACTGTATTATTTAAAGGTATTGATTTTTGCAAGTCCTCGCCTTGTAATGTCCAAGAAGCAGAGTGTACTAATGTAGGAGGTGGTTTCACATGTACCTGTGACATTGAGGAACCAAAAAATATTACTGGTAAGTAATATCTTAGTATTGTTTGGTACAGTGATACAATAAGCATATAGCTTCCACTAAAACCGAACTAAAATAAAATCTCTATAAACAAAACTGGTAAGTTTGACACAACGGTTTTATTTACAATACACAATGACACTTTTTGTATGATCATAAAAATTTTAATATATCATTAACCCATTGCTTCATGAGCATTTTGTGAAAAATGGCTGTTTTCATTGAAAAGTCTCCCGTTACAAGTTCAAATTGCTATAATACTATAAAAACTGCTTCAACACTAATCAAACTTGGCACAAATGTTGACTGGACCATTGTCCTTGCAACAACATGCTCAGACTTAAATTTTCTGTTTACCATGGCAACGAGGGGACATCTCAAAATTGCCAAAAATCACTATTTTGCGTTGATTTTTTCCATCAAAATTGATTTCAAAGTGCTGCAACTTATCAATGGATTGAGATAGAGTCAAATGCTTTTCAGCGTTGGTTACACGTTACCTTATGATCAATCTGGGGTCATTTACAGCCTCTCACAAGTCCAAAATTTTCTTGGCGATGAGGGGGACTCCGCCCCCCTTCAAACCCCCCAAAACAGAAGGGGGCACATCCCCCTTCTGGCAACCCCCTGATGTATCTTTTGGTTGGGGGGCCGCGCCGAAAAAGAGGTCAATTTTTTTAACAACATTTCTCAAACAAAAACAAGTGTTTGGGGCCTAAATAAGGCATTTTTTCATCATTTGAGACAACAAAAAAGGGGGGGGGCCGAAAAAGGCGTTAAAAGGCGTGTATATGAAGTAATGGGTTAAATAATAATACTTAAAAAATAAATCAAAATATCTAAGCTGAGATTTGCGTGTCTTTATAGCTGTTTAACATATTTGTTAAGGCAATTATCGGTGAACAATATACATAGACAAACGTTAAATATTTGTAAATTATCATTAAATTTTGAAACTGAATGTCATTAGCACTACTAAGGACTAGACTAGTTTTATAATTTATATTGTTAAGTTTAGATGTGATGTGGGGTAAGGAAGGGGGGGGGTAGCATTATATTATATAATGCCTTTGTTTATAAGGGCAGAAATGTGTACTAATTGTTTGTTACGAGATATGCTATTTATCTTCCTTGCCAGATATTTTATTTCGTAAATAGTCCCTGTGAAATCGTAAAAAAAATACAATCTGAATAAAATATCAGCTCCTCAATAACGTGACGCTTTATGTAAAAAATAAGACATTTTATTTTATGCTTTTCAGTGGATTACTGATTTATCCGTGAAAACTTTATTTGATAATTTCACTGTGAAAATTATCAAAATATAATTTCACACTTTTCAATGACAAAACTACTTTTTTTAAGATTTTCCCCATGTGGTACCTCAATTCTATTTTTGTTGACAATTCTGACAATGTCAGGCTGTTCAAAGAAAAGGCAAAGCTGAAATTGATAAATAACTTAAATGTCAAAAGTAATAAAAAGAAGAAAACTTACTTCTATTTATTTAAATTCCAATCACCAAATTTCGTCTCTAAGTTTTTTTGTTTCATTTTTACAGTCTGAAAAATACATTTCTTCAACATGCAAAACTGCTCTTGATGATATTTGGGCATATTAAAGTATCCTACGAGCAATAACTGCCGTATGCTTTATGAAAAATTGAAACGCAATGGCAGCTATCAGCTCGAATAATAAGCAAAACAACCCAGCATTCCTGAGCCAGCTTCTGAGCCAGCTTCAATATCCTCTATACCTTTAGTCCAATTGTAAATACTATAAATACAAATAACAATAAAACAAAATGGATTAATTAAGTATTTTTTATTTTAAAGAACTTAATGCAATAAATCCAGCTACAGTATGCTCACCAGGATTTTTTACTAGTAGCTACAGTATTAACGTTTTCATACAGTGGAAAATAATCGCACCTGTTGGAGATTTGATAATTGTGCTATTCACGAACTTCCAAACTGAAGAAAACTTTGATTTTGTGACTGTACAGGACGGTAATATTCAGTTCTATATTATAAACGTTCGTACGTGTTTGTTTGTGTCAATGCGTTAATTCAAGTCCTCGGATTAAAAAATTTTCTAGAATATACGATTCTAAAATTGTCAGGGAAAACAATATTGGTTTATGGAACATTCATGTATAACTGTTTCCAGATTTTAAATTCTGATTTATTTTTTTATTATTTCAAATAAAACGCACACAATTATAATTATTGTATGATTTAAGTTCCTCGTTTGTTTTGTGTTTCAATGAAATGTAACAATAATATTATACTTACTCGAAAGCAAAATAATATTTGTTAACACTGCATTTCATTTTGATATTTTTTCTTTTACATTATACAGGACTGGTCAACGGTGTTAAAACTTGCCTTGCCATATTGAGTGGAGAACCTCCCTTTTTAACTCTCCCGCAGAAATTCGTGTCATCAACCAATGAGCTTACAGTGACATTTACTAGTGATCACGTAAATACTTTCGCTGGATTCTGCTTCGCCTATGGTGTGGTGATATAGGCGTGAATATACATGTATATTATTGTATACAATTTTATATATTTATGTATTTATATATGTATAATAGTATACAATTATATAAATTAATGAATTTATTCCTCTCTCTTTTAGGACTTTATGGATAAATAAATACTGTGTTAGAAATAAGTTCTATATCAGTTTATTTAAAACTTTAGTCATACTCAACATAATTTCAGAAATTATGAATATTCACATTCAATTTTTATAGATTAAATGTCTTTAATACCAAACAGGTGAATGCTAAACATATTGATATTGGTTAATTCTATCAGAGATCGAGAAATAAACATTTCACAAAAATTAAAACCATGACTTTGAGTTAATTATTTATATTTTTTGTTTTGTTTTAATAATAGATAAATAATTAAGGAATAAATAGTTGTCGAGCTTTGAGTCATATCAATTGAATATAAGAAAATTCAAAGCCAAGTAGGCCGACCAAAATCCTACTGGTAAAAGCTGTTACCGGTATAAGATTCTGAACAAGAATACTAATTTTTTTACGGACTAACAATAAAACAACACATATTTAAAACAACCTTTGAAATGGCCAAAAGGTTAGCTATCAAATTTATCCAGTAGTAAATTGACCAATTTAATGGTATGAAATGAACATACAAAAACAAAAAATGATCACTGCAACATAAAACAGTGCCCGATTGATGGACGCTTTTCTCAAAAGCACATTAAGCTTTTAAATTCAATTTAATATATCAAAAATCTTCAAGATGCTAATCGCATTCAAATAGAAGTGCCCTAAGTGGAAATAGTCAGTGCTAAAAGTAGTAAAATTTTTACAAAGTGATATTTTGACTCTCATACAAAATACTTAATCACTATAACTGTACTAAATGTCATTACACAAAAGAAGGAAGAAATAGCTATAGAATCCGGCCAATGAGGTACTTTATTATTAGTAAGAGGACACAGACAATTAAAAGCCTTGACATGAAAAATAGCATTTTGAAATTTATTAGACCTTTCAAATCTAATTTTGTGATCTGTTAGGCCCTGTGTAATGGGACACAGTCAGGAGATTGTAATAAACACTGTCGTTCATGTACTGAGCAAGCAATGTTTAAATTGTGAGTGCTCTTTAAACAATCCATTTGCCAATGATTTGTTTTGTTCAAAATTCATACTGTTATATAACCATCATACATCAATGTCTTTCTCCATCTTAATGCGGAAATAATCACCTCACATTAGTGGTTTACTACACCTTCTTGACATAGCCATCATACCCCACTGCCATGCAACACATATTGCCTTATCTATCATGCAATATTTTCTTACACGACTTTTTATGTTCCCCTTAACAAAATTCTAGATAATTTGTATAACTCCATTCTGAATGTTGTCATAACTCTAAATGCTACCATAAGCAAAACACTTCATGCTACACTGTTTTGAAAACTTTTGCAGAGGAAGAAGTATTCATTTCAATAAACAAATGCTATGGAAATAAATCAAAATATTTTGTTTGGATGTGTTTGTCTTTATAGTTTTCTATTATATTTTCTCAGGAAAAATTGATTGTAAACCGTCTGTCTGTTCGTCCGTCTATCCGTCTGTCACAGTTTGGTTTACGTGGAAATCTTGATACAATAAAACGTGTACAACTTATTTTTTTTTAAGATTGAAAAGTCAACCCAAAATTATATGATCAATGGAGAATCTGGTCGTACATTTGAGAGAAAATCAATCTTATTCTTGTAAAGAACATTTAATGATACTACTTCGCACTCGTAACAAATTTCCTACTAGAAATCTAAAACTGGGCAAGATTACAAGTAAATGATAGACTATTTACTTCAGTATTCAGTATGCTAATTTTAACATAAATCCTTCGATTTAGTCTAACCATTTATAAATCTATTAAAACATATTTTGAAAAGAAAAAAGAAATTTCATTATTGGGTGATCGTAAAACGCCGAAAAAAGTATTACAAATAACATGTACAAAAAAGAAGGAAAAAGATACCGGATTAAGCTAAAAGGAATATGTCATTCAATAAATTTTTTAACTAACGAATTTCTGTTAGTGTATACATGTTTTCTGATTAATCTCTCGGGATGCATAAAATAATCACTGTAATAAGCGCGTTTGCAATGAGAAAAATCCAAAACAAAAATCTGTCTAAGAGTAGGGCTACAAATCTCCACTCGTCTGCAATGTTCTGCTGGTGTTCGTCTGCATATTGTTTCCTCGCCGACACAATGTCCATCTTTGTTCCATTGTCGTCTGCAATTTGGGATTCAATATCTACGTCTGCATCATTTTCATTGTGAGGCACAAAAGGTTTTGCTCTTGGCCTCATACAAATAATTCGAGACAGGACGTCATGGGATAGAAATCGTAACCATCTTGGAACACCCTGTCGATGAGGAGTAACATGGTGAAGATTTAAGATGAAAACTGTCATGAAGAGGGACAGTGACGTCATTCCCATTGTGACTGTCAGATAAGTTCCTGTCGGTGAAGGTCAAAATAGCTTTTGAGAGCTTGCACAAATGTGTTACATTGGTAAATTATTATCATTTGGAATAATTTATGCATATGAATTCCTTTTAAGTTTGAATTTTAGTTAACTATTAAAAGAAACAAATGACGTTACAATAAATTTGAACCAATGACTTCAACCTTTAATTGAAAATAAATGTTTAAGTAAGTACGCTTGATAGATTGGTTTGGTTTATCATACTTTTAAAGATATGTATCATAAACATAAAAAACTAGAAAGGAGAGATCGTTTAGAAGCAATGTTAAAAAAGAGAAAAAATGTCACGCCCGCTAGCACCGGCTAACACAGTATTATTTAATGTATGCACTAAAAGTAAAAATACACTGATGACGTTAAATGATACGGTCGTAAATGATCGTAAAATACCATATACATACCAATCAATGGTACAGATTGTGACGACACTGGAACCTTTTCCGAAATTACCAGCATAAATACGGAAAATGCTAGGAATACTCGACGAAGAAATCGACATTGCACATAGAATTGGTCAGTTCAAGACAGGCAGTAACCGTCCAATAATTGTAAAATTCGTAAGAAGGCAAACGAAAATTAATATAATGAAAAATGCAAAGTCACTTAAAGGAACCAGAATATATTTGAATGAAGATCTTACACACTCCAATCAGCAAGCTTTAATGTCATTACGTTTAAAAGACCCCAAACGAATCGAAAAAGCATGGTCTTTCGAAGGCAAAGTATTTGCCATATTTAAGTCAACGAACCCCTTAAGACCAGAAAACACAACAACACGGCAGATCAAATTCTCAGAATATGACCAATGGCTTTCGCTCCCGTGGCCGGCTCGTGAGATTCGAGGAAATTCTTCCGAAAAATCTACAACGAATGTTTGGAACAGAAAATAAAACATTGAAAACAAACAAACATATAAATACCAACAAATCAAATGAAAACTCTTAAGTAAAAAAGGTACATGCATGTACATCATGAGAAAAGAGAAATGTTTAACAAAAGACGCATAAAAAACTATTGTAATTGAACATCAAACTTTGTTAAACTTTGTTTCATGTGTTTATAAGTTTAATGATAGGTGTTAGTTTCTTAAAATTAACATTTTGTAGTTTAAGTAACTTTCTCGTATCACCCCTGTTTTTTTTATCCCGATTACAACATAAATAGTTATACACGAATTTTGACACAAATATGTTATGTTCCTTTCTGAAACATTGCACATTCGTTTAAATATTTGTATAAAAACAAATTTACAATGAAAAATATAAAATTACGCTGTTACCCTACAGAGTATTTACAGACAGTTTTTCGTTTTCGACGCACATGATATTGACTGTAATATCACATTATGAATACTAGAATATACATACATAAATTACATTAACATTGTTCAATCTTAAACAACACAATAACATTTGATTGTTTATTTTTATTTTTTTTTCTCATTATTTTCTGACCTAAGAAGGTTTATTAGTATGGGGTAATAAGTCGTTTATACAAGATATTCCTTGGTGTTGTTTCTCTTCTCCCTTTCATGTTTTTCGATAGAAGAGAAACATATTACAAGGGTATAGACAATACGAATGTCAAATTGAATGAAATATAGTTGCCTTACGGTTAAGTTTATTAGATTTAATAGTGTGAATGTCAAAATGAATGTAATATGTTTTTGTTGCGATTTAATTTATTACATTTGATAGTTTTGAATGACAAAATGTAGGTAAAATATTTCTGTATGAATGTCAAAATGTTGCGATTAAATGTATTACATTTGATATTATGAGTGGCAAAATGAATATAATATGTTTTGTTGTGGTTAATTTTTTAATTTTTTTTTTTTACATTTGATAGTATGAATGTCAAAATGAATGTAAAGTTTTTGCTTGCGATTAAAGTTACACCATTAAATATTATAAATGAAAGTCAAAACGAATATAATATATTTTGCTTGTGGTTAATTTATTTAATAATGAACGGCAAAACGAATATAATATATTTTGTTTGCGGTTAATTTATTTTAGATATGGTACTATGATTGTCAAATTTCAAATTGTCAAAATGAATGCACTATATTTAGCTTGTAGTTGAATGTATTAGGACTGATAGTATAAAAGAAAAAAATAAAGTAATATATTCTGCTTGCTGTATTTATGTTAAAATAAATTTTGATATACATTGTATTTGTTTTCAGTTAAATCTACTAGATTTGATGGTATGAATGTCAAAATGAATTCAATGTTTTTTTTGCTTGCGGTATTTATATACAAATAAATGTAAAGTATTTTGTCTCTAGTTAAATCTATAAGATTTGATAGTGTGAATGTCAAAATGAATGTAATATGATTTGTATTAGATTTGATAGTATGAATGTCAAAATGTATGTAAAGTGATTTGCTAGCAATTACATTTATTAGATTTGATGGTAGGAATTTTCAAAATGAGTGAAAAATGTTTTTGCTTGCTGTTTAAATTAATTAGATTTGATATAAAGAAATATAAGATATATAAATGATTTTGATAGTATTGATACCAAAATTAGATAGATATTTTTTTTATTTCTGTCTCATTCTCTTATTCCAAATGTCACCCAAAATTTCCTTCATGACTCATTTCAAAATAAAGTAACTTTAGTAATTATTTGACAATGACTTAATAAACATAAATATTTTTCTGTCATAAAATTTTAATCTATAACACTTAGTTTTTTCTCTCCAAATATTCACATCTTAAAATGATATGTAAGAGTGTATGTTAGATACCATTATAATATTCTCTTTCTGATATGTCATGTTGAATTATTTTGGTTTTTGTTGTTGCTGTTTCATTCATTTTAAATCCTGATAGTATATAAAAATGATGTAATGACTGTTTAACATTGATTTGCACCGAATATATGTCATATTTGGTTCACTTAGGATTTAACTTAATAGC